TCCTCTGCGGCAGATAAGAGACAGGAGCGCAGGGCGCACTCGGTCCAAAGCAGCTCACGCGCACCCTGAGGTCTATCCGTGCGCAGTTCGGCGATTCGACAGGACTTGAAGTTTTTTTTTTTTTTTTTTTGAGGAAATGTTTCGTCACAGCTCGGACGCGCTTTTAGCTCAGGCGTTCTGTCAGTGAAGGCAGAGGATCCAAGCTCGGGGATAAATCTGGAGATCGCGCGTGATCCCGCTGCTCTTCCTCTCTGCTTTATGTCCTAACTGACTCGTTTTTGTTGAACGAATCCGTGCTGGTTGGTAGATCCAGCGCTCGGGGATGATTTCAGCCATTTCCAGCCCGTGGCTGACGCAGCTCTCCCATTTCTGCGATGTTGCAGCTTTCACCACGAGCAGCCTGAGCAGCCTGAACGCGCCGGGGGGCTACCACCTCTCCCCGTCCCCCGGGGACCCCTACAGCCAGCAGCATGAGGCCCACTTCGAGCCGTGCCCGGCCGCGCAGCACAACTACACCTACCCGGGCTCCAACCCGGGCCAGGCGCAGCCGAGCGACGCGGGGACTCCGAACTGCTCCTCGTCGTCCACGAGCTCCACGCCGAGTGGAAAGAACTCGGTGAAGAAAAACCCCAAAGTGTCCAACATCAACGTGCAGCTGGAGATGAAGGCTCTGTGGGACGAGTTCAACCAGCTGGGCACCGAGATGATCGTCACCAAGGCGGGCAGGTGAGCGCGCAGGACGCACGGCTGACACCGACAAAAGGTTTTAATGGAAGAAAGAAATATTTCAACAATAATCTCATTTATTTACATCAAGTTCAGGGTTTAAGAGGGAAATGGGGAATATTATAGGTAGAAATAAATGCAACACTATTTGACACAATATTATATATTATATATATATTAATACAACACAATAGTTCGATCTATTTTTCTACTGTTGGAAATTAAACTTAAAGTTGTTTCACTTTTTGTTTATTTTAATTTTCTTGGAGTTTATTTTCAGTTCGATTAAAGACATAAAGAGACGCGGCTCTCGGGGCTTTTGTTGCAAACATTTACTTTGGATCAGTTGAGTTTCTAAAACAACTGCGGATTCTTCTTTTAAATGAATTAATTTTAAATAAAAAATCATCCGTTTTGATGAGTCAGCTGATCCTGCAGTTTGATGACGCAACATTTGTTGAAGAGAAGTTTCACGCGCCGTTGCTCCAGAGAATAAAACATTGTTTTTTAAATGTGGGCTAACCAGGACAAAACCAGCACCCACCTCCTGTTTTAAACATTTTCATTCAGATTTTGATCAAAGTGCCTCTTTGGTTTTTATTTTTCCCACTTCATTCATTTGGAAATAAAACAATTTTAGGTTTTTAAGACTAAAACAAGAATCAGTTTAATGACGTTTAACTTTGATTCTGCTCACAACAAATGTCCTGCACGCGCGGACATAAAAACGTTGTGTTTTAATAAAAAATAATAATAATAAAAAAAATAAAAAAAAGAGGAGTCTTGATCTAAGTGCACCCCACCCCCAGCTGTGGCTGAAGGAGCGCGTGTGACAGGAGGAGAAAGCAGATGTGCAGACACTTCAGCAGCTCCTTCAGCCTCACCAGCCACAACACTGACGTTAATTGAGCGTTGATTCCAGGCTCCCTTTCACTGACTCACCTCTCAGGTTCCTGCGGGGGGATGTGGATCTGCTAAATAACCTCTGAAGGTCGGCCGGGGGGGGGGGGGGGGGGGGGGGGGGGGGGTGCTGATGAAAAGCTGCTGTTAAAACTGCTGCTTAATTTCAAAAGACAAATATTGAACAGGATGCAGAGAAATCAATTACAGATAATTGATTTGTGCCGATTTCGATGCTTCAATTTGATTAGTTCAAATTCTGAGATGAACTCGCACCCAAATAACACCCTGAGTGTGTGTGTGTGTGTGTGTGTGTGTGTGTGTGTATGTGTGTGTGTGTGTGTGAAGACAAGAAAGCTCGGTTTGGGTCGGCTATGAAGTCATTTTAATAGTTTGAATGTTTTGTTTTTGTCTCCAGCTATAAGATAAAAAAAAAACCCTACTAAATGATTTTATTTATTTTGTTTTATTTCGTATTAATAGTCTGTTTGTGTAAAAGAACGTGTTGGACTGAGCCTGAACACTCTGCTGATGCAGATTTGATAGAACTGGAACATTTAGCTCATATTTCATCAAACAGCAGCTTCACTCTGACTCTTTCTTTTCCCTGCAGGAGAATGTTTCCAACTTTCCAAGTGAAAATCTTTGGGATGGATCCCATGGCGGACTACATGCTGCTGATGGACTTCCTACCTGTTGATGACAAACGTTACAGGTAATTTAAAAAAAAAAAAAAACAGCTGCTTGTATAAAAGACAAGATCCAAAAACGGAAAACAGGAAGTTGCGTGAATTTTTAGTCCAGTACAACATTTGCAGATTTTATTTTATTTTATTAAGAAACTTCTCTGAATAATCCTGTTTATTTTCTAAATGGATGGATTTCCGTCCTGTGCACGGACATTTGTTGGTCCTCCTCCTGCAGGTACGCGTTCCACAGCTCCTCGTGGCTGGTGGCGGGCAAAGCTGACCCCGCCACCCCCGGCAGGGTTCATTACCACCCGGACTCTCCTGCCAAAGGCGCGCAGTGGATGAAGCAGATCGTGTCTTTCGATAAACTCAAGTTAACCAACAACCTGCTGGATGACAACGGCCACGTGAGTTCACCTGAAGCAGACACGCGTGAAACAAGAGGAACAAACTGTTCGCCCTGCACAGACTCAGCAGCTCGTAAACATTTATTAGAGCGCAGCACGTGGCAGATTTAATCCAAAATGGAAACAATAAATCCAAACAGAAATGTTAAAGTTCGAGGGTTGAGCGATTTTTTTTTTTTTTTTTTTTTGGCGAGTGTTCCTTTACGCACGCGGCGCGTAATGACGCGTTCCCAAACAGGAGAGAAATATTTCACCACTGGAATCATTTTCTTCTTCCCCCCGACTGGTTTTTCCTCTGAGGTTGTCTGTAAACTCAGAGAATAATGGAATATTTTAGGGACTGAACGCGTCCACGTGTGACACCAAGTCCGTGGACTTTTACATCCAGGGGTCCAACATTTAAACCTGCGGGAATAATCGTGTTTGTTGTTTTGCTTTGGTTATTTGTTTCTTCCGGTTTTGCGTGTTTGCGCAAATTTGGAAACAGTGTTTAAAACAGAACGGGCAAATGCTGGTTTACCCAAACCAGTGGGTCCAAAAACTGGGTTCACTGGGCCAGAAAACATCAAAGGATTTATGCTTCAAACACTGTCGCTGAGAGCGCATGGCTTAAACTGTTATAAAATATAAAAACAATCGATACAAATTGGTATAAGTATTTTAACAGCTTTGTGTTGTTTTATTTTTATTTAAATAATTTCGCATTAATGTGTGGACATTTGAAGCAGTTTGAAGTCTCTCTTGTTTGAAACGTGTGAGAAAATTTGACAAACTATTGAATTTCATCTGATCATTTATAAATTGCTGATAATAAGCTCGTTGTGCCAAAAAAAATAAGCTGACACTGTAAAAACTTTAATATAATAATGATAATTATTATCAGTAGTGTTGTTGTTGAGGCTGTTGTTGTTGTGCGCAGATCATCCTGAACTCCATGCACCGCTACCAGCCCAGGTTCCACGTGGTCTACGTGGACCCGCGGAAGGACAGCGAGAAATACGCGGAGGAAAATTACAAAACGTTTGTGTTCGAGGAGACGCGCTTCACGGCGGTCACAGCCTACCAGAACCACCGGGTGAGCAGCGCGCGCGCAACCGATCCTGTGTGGGATCAGTAACCAAAGACATCAGTAATGCCAAGGTCTTTAAATGTGACGAAAGAACGGGTGACTTTTGTTTATTTGTTTATTTATTTATTTTGTGCGGTAAATCGTTTAAACGCGCAGTTTTTGTGCGTGTGGTTCTGCTGCTCAGTGAGAACTGCGCCACATTCACTGTGTGCAGCAGCACCATCCCTTATTTATTTATTTATTTATTTATTTATTTATTTGTTTGTTTTAGGACGAGGTCTGCGCAAGGAGAAGTCAATAAAATGTTATATATATATATATATATATATATATATATTAATGTTAACTGGATGGAGTGTCTGAGTGTGGGAGTGATTCAGAGTGTTGCTGGTTCAGACTGGGCAGAAAGCACCTGCTTTATTTCAGCACAAATTGAAATTATTTATTTAATAAAATAATTGTTTAAACTTGTTTTTGTAGCCATTAGAAATAATGTTGGTTATTAGAGAAGATTTAGAATAAATTACTATAAAATACCTTTTCATCAATGCAAATTAAACAGCAATAATAATAATAATAATAATAATAATAATAATAATAATAGTTAGAAGTTGTTTGTGTTTTATTAAGTTTAAAACAAAGTAAAGAAGAAAGTAAAAGGTGTTTTGCTGTTTGTTCTGCAGATCACGCAGCTGAAAATCGCCAGTAATCCTTTTGCAAAGGGCTTCAGAGACTGTGACCCCGAGGACTGGTGAGCAAATCTTACACTTTACTCTGATTATTTTTGCATGTTGTTAAAAATGAAGAGCGATCAGGCCAGAAAAATGTTTTTATATATCTCATCATGTTCCATATAAAAACAGGAATGTTAGGAGTCATTGCATATTGTTGAACAAGTCAATCAGCTGTTTGTCTCACAAAGTGCTCGAATTGTGCAGAGGAGCGGTGGAACAAACCCCACCCATGTGGTGTGTTCAGACAGACAAAGTGAACACACTGAGACCTCTGAGAAGTTTTAACTCGGCTCCAGATGAGATTTTCTACAAATCAACAGTTGAAAACAGGGACTCTGATTATTTAAGAGAACGCCTCACATTCAGCTTCATGTTTTGTCTTTGAGCTGTGCAAAATGTTCATTTCATGCATGTGGATTCATCCCTCGGTGTTGTATAAAGAAATGTTACCCTTGACGCTCATTAAGTATGACTCTAACCTTCCTGCAGGCCCAGGAATCACCGGCCAGGCTCGCTGCCAATAATGAGCGCCTTCGCCAGAACAAGAAACCCAATGTCCTCCCCGCCGCAGCAGAACGGCTCAGAGAAAGGTCCGCAGCTCTTCCTTTAGTCCAAACGTTTTGTCTGAAAGAGAAAAAAAAAAAACAACTGCACAAGGGACTTTTTCCTTCTGTTAAAATTGTTGACTTCTGTTTTTCTGCATGAGCAGAGTGCGGCGCTGGCTTTTAATTAAACAGACAGAAGTCAGTGATGCACCCGCTCACAACGTGAGAGCTTCTGTAGCTGTCAGCTGGAGCACAACGCTCACGCAGTCGTTACTTTTATAAAAAATAAACCAAACGATTCAATTCTGAGAGTTTGATTCATGCAGACTTTATCCATGAAAGGTTTTAATGTCACGTGCGTTGTTTTTTAAATTCAAACGGTTAAAAGCATCACGTTTCAGTTCATTAAACACTGTTTGAATCTGAAAACACAAAGAATACAGTTCGTGCTGATGAATTATAAACAGCTGCTGGTTCAAAAACCTTCAGGCTGTCGTGGGTCATTGTCGTTGACGGCAGAGACGACCTGCTCACTCATGTCTCTTGTGTTGACACGTCCACAGAGGACAGCCGGCGGGAGTACGACGCAGACCCCAGTGGCACACCCATACACGCAGACCCGGCTCACCAGCTGATGTCCCGCGTTCTCAGTCCTGCCCTGCCGGTTCCAGGGGGCCTCCACGCAGTCCCGCTCACAAGTGGCCGACCCAGCTCTCCCCACGACCTGCGGCCGGACCCCCACACCCTACCGCCGGACACCCTGCACCACTACCCCTACAAGTACCCCACTGCCTACGAACACTACTTAGGAGCCAAGAGCAGGCCGTCGCCGTACCCTCTATCAAGCATCAGAGGACACACGTACCACCACCACATGAATCCCGCCACGACCAACATGTACTCTGCAACCAGCGGCCCCTCTAACTACGACTACGGGCCCAGATAATGACTGCTTCCTGTTGAAGGGCACGCAGCCCTGTGGAACTCCTAGGAGCAGAAACTTCTTCTGATGGTTTGATCACAGGCTGGAGCTCCTCCCTGCTGGATACATCCTGCCGTATTTATTTAAGGAACATGCATCTTTGCATTAAGCACCTGTTGTATGAGCCCTGCCTGCTCTGACCTTTGAACTCTAATGGCTCTGCATATGACGCTGCTTCCTCCCTGAGCAGCGCAGACGTCGAACCGGCGAGCAGAGGAAACCGGAGCGACCTCCTCAACACAGAAGAGACTTGAGATCACAGACTGGAACCATGACTTTTGTTTGTTGATGCACTTTTCTTGGACTTTGCCTTGTTTTTAATTGCTTTCAGAAAAGCCATACGTTATATAGCCCCATCAGACTTTGTAGGTAGACGAGATGTTTGCATGTTGAGCTCACCAGAGAGGATGTTGACGTACACCCAAAGTGTTTTTGCTTGGGGAAGAAAAAAAAACAACATTTTTGAAAATGTTCGAAGGTCTGAGACGCTCCATGGCACTGACTGGCAGTCGTTCTACACAAACCAAGCAGAACGACTTTTCTGTGTCTGTAAAATAAACATTAAATTCTTGTAATTCATTTAAAAACAACAACAAAAAAAGAGTCTGTGCAAATCTTCCCTTCACAGTCGAGTCTATTAAACATCGGTTCCCCTCTCTGATTGTTGCTCTCTGTGCCGTTTGTCCTGAAGCTCGAGTTCATGCAGTCGTTGTCAGGCACGACCTGAAAACACACACACACACACACACACACACACACACACACACACACACACATACACACACAGATCTGAACGTACCTGAGGAGGGAACATGTAGTTTAATGTAAATATGAACGTTTAACCATTTCAGTCTTCACTTCGCTCGAAGGGTTTTAAACATTAATAACGTTGACCACACTTTAATTTAACCTGCTTGGTGAACGTTTGAACATTTTAAACACTGTGTTTTTCTCTAATAACGTCAGGAAACAATAAAAATACCAAATTATTCAGTTTTCCCTTCTCTCCCAGGAAATATGACACATTTTCTCTGCAGCACTAAGAAACAAAAGAGACAACACTTGTATTTACCAGTTCTCCACCACGTCTTTAATGGGACAGTTGGTGATGTTTTAAGAATGTGACCCCCACCCACCACCACCACCACCACCACCACTCCCTCTGCTGCGTGTGCAGCCATTTTCCATCTCTCTCTCCTCTGAAGTCCTACGAGGAATGCTTTGTTGTCAAGGTTAATCTGGACGGGAGAAAAATTCTGCTTTGGGATTTGTGTTGGTCGGGACAAAGAGAAGTGTAACTCATGAGTGTCTCAGAACCGCTTGCTGTGCACACGCTCATGCACGGCTCTCATGGAGGAAGCTGCTTGGTGTGTGTGGGGGGGTGGAGGGGGGTCTTGGGCTGACCTTTGACTTTTAAAAGGCTTGAAAAGACGTCAGAGGTTTAATAATGTTGAACTCGTTTTTATATACTTTGTTTTAAACTATTTATAATTTTTTTTTTTTTGCTTGGATATAAAACAAAACTTCCTTCCTTTAATTATTATTTCTATCATCATTATTACTGTTGTTTAAAAATGCTTTTATAAAGTCAACAACAGGCTGCAGTAATGTTTAATATAAATGTTTTAGAGCATGCTGTCTGGTTTAAACGTTAACATGTTGTGATTCTGCATGTCCAATAATTACTTTACATCATTTTAAGTAGCTCAGAAAATGTAATTTAATTACTCCATGCTTCTCTTTCTAATATGCTAAATAGTTAATTATTATTAGTCCTTGTAGTATAATATTTTATTGTAGGCCAGTAAGGGTGAGTTCAGAGTAGTGCTCTCTGCTCTGAGGTCGACAGACGTGAACCGACAGCTGCCTGCAGGAGTTTGGAGCCGAGATCCCGTGAGACGACACGGAGTTTGTTTCTTCACGGTCTGGGCCTCTCAGAGGCAGAAAAGACGGGTGAAAGGCCTCGTTTGGACTGATCATAGGTTTTATAAGACAGAGCAGGCATCAGTGAGAATGTTGGTGCATGCTGCACTTACAGAAACCACCTCAGAATGAAGCTGTGACCTCACGTCTCTGACTGGGAGGAAAATGTATAAATCTTTAGGTCCAACTGGTTAATACTGAGAAACAGCTCCAATATTCCAATGTGCACATTGATTATGGAAGTTTAAGACAAACACTGAACCAAAACCAAAGTTAAATTAAAAAGTGTAAATTTAACATCGTTCTTTACTTTAACTTATGAGACAGCAACATGGGAACATTTAGGATCCATCCAAAGCCTTTAGCTTATCTTTATAGTAGCTTAGTGACAGCAGGCTCTGAGACAACACTGTGTTTGTTTTAAACGAACTGTTGTTGCTTTGAGTCAGAAATCTTTATTAAAGAAAACACTTTTATATTCTTTTATCTTTAATCATTACTGCGGATGTTTAAACTGACTATTCTTTACAGAGTCAAAATTGTAAGTCAATAATTGTCAAGTATTTTTGCTCAGTGACTAAATGGCTGGGGCAGGGTTGGATTTACAACAAAAATAACAACAAAAACAACAACAACAATAATAATAATGGTCCGTGCTTATACTAAACCACAGATGCAGAAAAGGAATATCTTTGTTGTATTCTGCACTGTAAAAAACAAACAAAAAAACCAACTCAAAAGATGTGATAAGTTCAAATAAAGTGGGGAAATTGCGCCTGCTGGAGAAAATATAATGAACTGCACATTTTGTATCAACTAAATATAATTACCCTCCTATAAATATTCTTAGAACCTATGTGTACTTTATTTAGTTTTCTATTTATGTTTATATATATATATAATATATATATATATATATTATATATATGTATATATTATATATATGATATATACTATATATATTATATATAAATATATAATATTATATGAATATATTGTATATATTATATATAATATATACAATATATATTATATA